TTGCCGCCGTCGCCAAGTGCTTGCTCATGGTGGGAACTGTTGGGTCTCTCTAAATAATTTTATGTTTTTTTATTTTTTTATGTTATGAGTATGGTCTAGACCTGCTCTATTTGATAACTCTTGTTATAAATTGGTGCTATACAGATAAATTGAATTGAATCTGGTATTTAACTTCTGGACTAGCCAAAACTGGTTATTTTATCTATAAGCATTTACATAAAATGTACTATATCATGACATAGATCTGTAATTTGAGATAAAAGGATATACTGAGAGAGATTATTATATACATAATGCCCATTGTGTGTGTTTGTGTGTGTGTGTGTGTGTGTGTGTGTGTGTGTGTGTGTGTGTGTGTGTGTGTGTATCTCAGTAAGCTCTGGTTACCTGTGTAGCCAAACGTTGGAGGCACTGTGGCTCAGTGGAGACGACATAAGTAGAGTGAAGCTTTTAGCACAGAGATTTTCTGCTGACTGCTCTAGTAATAGCACTGCACATTAGCTTCAGATGTTACATTCATTAGGACGGTGTGTGTGTGTGTGTGTGTGTGTGTGTGTGTGTCCTGTATACGGGCACCTCACCGCTAATATTTGTAACAATGGACAGTGAGAGAGAGGAAGACATAAAAAGATGGCGTACAATATGTGTCTGTGCTGATAGAATGATGACTTAGTGAAAACACACTGAGTCAGCGTGCTGGCAAACACTTAGTCAACATTATGTTACACACACACACAATCAGAACTATACTCCGTTGAGACTTGACTTCTGTAATTATGTGATGTTTTAAGTGATGTTTCTGGACAAAATCAATGCATATGTGTCATGGAACTGCATACTGTAATATATAGCAGGACTGAACTGGACTGTTAAAGGGACTTTATACCGTGTTTCAGCTGGTTTTGCACCAAGACCAGCATTTTGGATGAATTCACCAAACCTACGTCCTGCCCCATTTTGCTCCAATAACAGTAGAGCAAGCCTCGGTTAGAACCTCATTCAACTTTCTCCTTACCTGTACTTGCTGTGTGCTCAATGACTGTGTCTAAAGCACACATTATACTCTTTGCATCTGTGTCAAGAGGGCCTAACATACATTTCACTATCTGTTTGTGAGAGTCAGCTTCCAGCTCAAAATATATGTATATAAATATATAGAATAAACTGAACAATATCCGTCCCTTTACTCCGTGCCTACAAAGTACAACACCACAACAACATCACATTCTCTCGGATCTTGGAAATCAACTCTTTGTAGTGTTGAGAGTTCTATTTCATTCTTCCTAACCGCTGCAGACAGTGGAAATCCAGGTATCACATACTGTCTCTCGCTGTTATCCAGAATTCATAGAACCGTGGTTACATACATTTATTGTTTGTAATTTGTAATAAGAAAAAGGAATAACATGCGACCAACGGTAGGGTTGCAGTTATACGTGAGTGTTTTAGATTTGGAGTTTAATAGATGTTTTCAATATGTGAATGGAGAGTTAAAAGCTAAAAGAAGCTAAAACATGATTTTGCTCTTTAAGCTCCTGATTTAAGAATTGTACCACTCTGTCTCTATATTCAGTAGCCTGCACAGACAGCATTGCTAAAGTCAGCTTCTTCTATCTTAGGTAGCATTTCTAACAGAGAGTTAAAGTGCTGCTCCACATTGCTATATTTTCTGCATTGAGCCTTTCTTTCACCTACTGTTCTTACTAATGAAATCTGATCCGACCACTTCCGTGAGACATATTTTAGTTGCTGGGGATCATGGAGAGTCTTTGGTAGGTACTGGAATAAAAAAAATCTAATCTAAACTATAAAGACATAACTGAAACTCTGAATGACCTCTTCACCATTTCAAATAAGTCAAATCTTTAGTTTTAAAGCTGCAGTAGGTAACTTTTATAGAAATTACTTTTTGTCATATTTGCTGAAACTTTCACTATATCCTGACAGCTACCGATGTTGGGAATGATACTCAAAAATCGACTGTCTTCAAGCATCCAACCCAAAGTGTCTTTCTGTCTTTCTTGGCTCTAATTGGTTGTATAACAAAAAGTTATTTCTATAAAACGTACCTACTGCAGCTTTAACCTGCGTCAGATATATCCCAAATTCACTTCAATTGGCTTCACACCAGTTGATAGAGCCGTTCATTATGAGTTAGCTCTCATGGGCTGTGCAAAATTGTGTCACATCCTGCATTCACGTCACTGAAGCTCTCATTTAGTTCTGGGAAAAGTACACTTGAAAAACGTTGACAGCCAAGCAGGGTTGTGTGAAAATGGCTTGAAATTAGAATGTAGATTTAAATGGGAAACAGTGTAGTGGTTTCAGTAGCTGTTGTATCTACTTCCCAAGAAGGCCATTTCCTTAACAAGCTGCTGGGATCTGTTAGGAGGCCCACTGGGAAGCAGTCAATGTGCACTGATCACAACACACAGGAAACGAAGCATTCCTTTGGCCAGACAGAAGAGGAAGTGGGACATATGCCAGACTGCACCGTGCGTGTGTGTGTATGCAGACAGAGAGAGGTGAAGAGAAGGAATAAGACAGGCCAGACTATGCATGCACCACTTCTGCGGTGTGTCTGTTGGATTCTGTGTATTCGTACATCTCTCAAACACATTCTTGACCTCGCTGGAGGAGTGTAGCAGTGAAATTAGGTCAGGATTATTTCAGCTCACATTACAGTACTCTCCCAACAGGCCTTATGTAAGAAGAGGCTGACTTCCTCAAACTGTTATATCTTCAAAATAGGTCCCCACACATACAGTAGGTTCAGATTCTGCCTACTGTACTGTATATATCCTCTCTGCTTTACTCCAGACACTGGTGGAGGGTTAAACTCTTGGTATCAGATGGTCAGTCTGATCCACAGCAAGATTTTGTATCTCATCGACTACTGGCCAGATGTCATGGCATTTAGTACAGATATTCATGTTCCCCAGAGGATGAATCCTAATGATTTTCACGATCCTGACCTTTCCTGTGGCTCAGATCAAAATGTCAACTGTGCACATAGGCTGGATTGCCATCATAATTGCAGTGGATGTTCATGATCCCCAGAGAATGAAGACTATTGATTTTGATGAGTATGCCTTAAGTACAACATATCTTTTAATCTAATGGACAGATTGTCATGAGAGCTGCATATCTCAGTCATGGCAGGCTTTGTGGTGATTTGGGGAATGCAGGAAGTGCTGCATTAAAAATGCACTGACAGATTTTTAGCCACTTGGGGGCAACAGAAAAATCTGAAAACACAACACTGACATATCACCTCATAAAGTTGTTATAATGATCATGTTAAGAAAGTTGCTAACATTGAGTGACTTGAGTATTTATTGAGATTCATGCTCGTGTCAACCTGGTAAATGTACTGTAAGTCCAATATTTACTCTCCTTTTAGCTCTGTTTTTGTTCTCCACCAACTCCTGGTATGTCTCTTTAGCTGACAAATGCTCCACTTTGTTCACCAGGCAGCGATAACACACATAATAGATGAACTGACAGCATTGTGCATCTGTGTGATCTGATCTACCAACCAGCACTTAATTTAGTGAGAAATCTTAATTATTGAAACTGTCCGCTTCTCATTCCCGCAGTTTTCTCCCACAAATAGTGCAGCTAACAGAGGCTGAAAAGTTTGTACAGAATACACTTTATCTTTATATTAATTCAGTGTTTCCTCTAGGATTTTTTTTAGCAGCAGCAGCAGGCCCGTCCAAACACCCTCCCCCCACCCGTATGAAACAGAAGTGACACTTGGCTGCGACACAAACAAATATATTTACCGTTTTAATGTTTCCAGATGTTTGATATCAGGACATTGTGAACGACAAGTTGAACGTTGTCCAATTAAACGTTTTGACAATAAGCTACATCAACACAACAGTATGTGGAGTTAAACTGGACAGCCCCAATAACCTCTGAATAGTTCTACTTGTTGTTAAATTGCAATGTGAGCGGCAGCCAGCGGGGGTGCATTATGTCGGCAGGATCATTTAAAAGGCAAACCGTGACTACATTGTGCGTCTGCCCCATTTCTGATACCATGGCGGCAGAAATTTAACAGCCCCGCTCCAAAATCAACATAGAGGAAACACTGTAATTATATTGATGTCGAATTGACAACAAGACTGTCAACATATGACATCCTTTAACTTGTGCTCTAGAGTTACGTGTTATTATGTTAGGAATTGTTCAAATGTTATATTTCTTTGGCGCAAGAGGCTTTTTTAGCTTAATTCAAACTGCTGATTTTTTAAATGTTTTGTCACCACTACAGAAACACTAGGTAACTGCTAAAGAATGATAAGACTGTCTAACTTTGACTGCTGTTAGTTATTAGTTTGATTAATTATGTATTGATTACTGACTGGCTGGCGGATCAGGCTGATTATCAGTTTATTGTACACTTTTTCTTGTGTCAGGATGCTGTAAATGTTTTTTTTAAACTTCTTTCCTTAAACATGATGTGCTTGTTATTAAGGGTGACTCCTGATTAGTGACCCCCTAGTGTTGATCAGTCACTTAGTGTAAAAAAAACCCACCACTTCTTCATGATGCCTGATTACAAGACAGATAACTGTGTAGTGTGAACAGTTAAGTGACCTGCTGCTGGAAACCAGGTTAATGAGTGTGTACTTTGTGGGACATTAGACCAAAACAATGAGCTGAAAGACACTAAAAAGCTCTGTAGGGCTGAGGGGAGCTGCATTATTCTCTGTGGGTTCATCACTAGAAGTGATACCTTACATGACTGACATCATCACTGACATGATAACATGACTATTACACATAGCCATGTTATTCATTGTTTATATACACAATAATGCTTTAAATTCTTAAAGCTGTGCTAAGCATTATTTTGTAATGATGAGATGCTATAAAGATCAGAATCTGTTAAAATAGTGAGACACTGCAATAGTTTTGTTGTGTAGTTCATTTGATCAAATAAATCTTTATTTTTCCTTTCCTCCTCTCTTTTTCCCTCTTCCATTCAGTTCACTTCCAGTCTACTGACCTGGCATGAGAGGACAGTAACCTACCAAAGCCATCTACTGTCAAATGAGGTGATATTTTAGGCATTAAGAGATTGCTAGTTGTGGAAAAATGTAATTGAGTCATGTCATGTCATCAGCAAGAACTGTATAGAGAAACATTTAGCTAGCAGCAGTTTAAATGAACATTCAATGAATTCTGATGGCTTCTTTGTTAATAGTGTGAATGGATATTTAGATATGAATGAATTTCAGTCAGCCTACTCACATTTGAAATGTTTATTAGTATAGCATATTTAGATTTTGGCGTCTAGGCTCCGACCTCATCACTCCCCGCAGATATGTTTACGTAAAGATATTGGGGAGTGATGAGCAAATACCTTAAACCCTAGCCAGAGCCTACAGGTTGATGCTGGGATGGTGGTGGGGCTTACAGCGCAGCAGGCAGCAATAGCTTACAGAACAGCAGCGATGTGATGCAAGGCAACGCGGCATTGACAGAGCAGAGGGAGAGCTGGGAAATTGTGCAGTTTAAATAGACCGCCAGATTGGAAGGGAGCGCTTGGTTAGTGATTATGGAGTGAGGCATGTCGTGTGTATATCAGCGCAGCTTGAGTTGACTACTTGAACTAGCTCGCAGGCTTCGCTCCATGTATGAAAAAACATCACAATTCTTCCTTCAGTGTCCTCTCCCTCTGGTCTATTACAATAATGTAGGTCAGTCATGTTACTGTGCACCTCATCCAAACTGACATGTTGTTTACTCCTCCCTTTCATCCTTCAATTCAGAAACTCTAAATACTATCTATTTATTTCAGATAGGCTGTGTGTATTAAAGAATTGTGCAAATAACAATAGCAACAAATAATAACAAAAATGTACTGTACTGCTTGTTGTACTGCATACAGTTGTTTGTCATATAGAATACTCTTGAAATGAAAATGAAAGACACATTAATCAAATCTGGACCACTGGAGATAGGAAGATTACTGCTTGTCCTGTTAGTGACACTAGACTCAATTGACCCCTTCCTAAGTCCTGCCCATTTTTGCTTTGTGCTCCAATAACAGTCGAGCAACCCTTCGTCAGAACCTAGGGGAACTTTCTACTTTCCTGTACTTAGTGTTTCCCACAGGATTTTGTGAGACTTTGGTGGGGGCATGCTCCCCCCGGAAGATTTTTTTTTTTACATTTGGAAGTTAAATGCATCAATCTGGTGCACTTTGAAAGCAAAATTAAGAGGCTAGATCTATGAAGAACTGTGTGCTCTTGTAAACAATTTAATCATAAATACATTGGTTGTAAAGATATGAATGGTGAAAACACAAAATCAACTAGAGCATACATCTGAGCCATCAAATAAATTAAGCAAAAGTGGTTACCTGTGTTGAACTAGTTTATTTTTTAGCAAATAAAATAATAAATAATTAAACTGTAAGCTAAATAAATAATAAATTGGATTTGGAGGGTACATCATCAATTCATTGTTAGTTGCAGCCTTAAGGGGAGACATGGTAGGCAAAAACATTTTGGGTTATTTTGTCTTCTTTCAGACTAGTGGAAAGAAAACATCCAAAATACACATTTCTACAACTCTCCCTACATCCCTATTTACAAACTTTGCACCCTGAATTTGGACATTTAATTTTCCTGGGCTTTGAAAAAAACAGTTCTAATGCCCTTTGGTAGTTAAATTCCTCTGGACTCGGCCCATTGATGGAGACCCTCAGGCAGCCAGCCAGGTGCTCTCCTTGCAGCCTGTTATGAATGTCTGATTTCACCTGAAAATGAAGGTAACTACAATTAGCCAAATGAATGAAAATATTTTGAGCACAATAACGTTAGTGTTACGTCAACTTTATTAACAAAAATAGCCTGACGTTACATGGTGAGGCAACTTGCTCCTCAGATGCTGAAAATATGAAAATACAAGGCTCGCGGGGCTCTCGTCCGCGACGCCTTGTAAACGTTAAGTTAACTTACGTTGTCAGAGCCGCTGGTAATAACAAAGATTCTCTATATACATTTATACTTTCTGAACAGTCTCTGGTGATAACATTAACGTTAGATAATTAGCTAACGTTAGCTAGCTAGATATAACGTTACATACTTTTTTACGGCAAGCAGCCGGATATATCAGTCGACTGACCGCTAACATCGCTACCTAACGAACGTTAACGTTAATTATCAATAATAAACTTTTGCAGTAACGTTATCTGTTTGCTGTCGTACATTGATCAGGAACTAGTGGATACTTTTTTTTTTTTCTTTCTTTTTTGTTAACGTTTCTTACCTCAAACGATGTGGTGTCCTAAAATGCCTTGACGTCTCGGATGCTGTCAGGTAACTTTATATATTCCAGTGCGAGCGTGTGTGTGTATGAGTGTGCGCACGCCGCGTACAGCAAGGGGGGGGGGGAGGCAGAGCCGACTGACTGGGAGTGAGAGATGCTTTGCTGAAGCAGCGGCACAAAACACAAGTTACAGATCTTTTATGTTATTATGAGAAGTGTAAGAATTTTTTTCTGTTCATTCTGAGACTGTGGCAGGACACAGGACAAATTAGACCATGGCGGGCCGCCACCGTCTAAGTAATTAATGGGAAACACTGCTGTACTTAGATATGCTATGTGCTAGACTAATCTATAGCCCTATTCGCACGGGACTAGTATTACCTGGGGACCTCAAGTAATTTGTAATAATTGTGGAGGTCGTCTGTGATCTTAATCCCGTGAGAATCTGCCATGTCCGTAATTTGTAAGTAAAAATTCCCCCACAAATTACCTACCATATTTCGCCAAACACAGAGGTCATGTGATAATATTAGTCCCGTGTGAATCGGCATGTCTGTGATTTGGGGTCATTTTTATTTATTTTTTTAAGGTTTTTTGTATCTTCCTTTTTCCCGGTTGAGAATTATGGAGGCTGTGTTGGCACTTATAAATTAAAGTTTTGACAGCATTTTGGGTGCAAATTCAGGAGGCTCATCTAGGTTCACAGCATAGAGACCCATTCGCAGAAAGAGCAAGCTCAAATCCATTAGAAGAGCAGAATCTTGAAAGATGATTAGATGGATTACATGCATGGCAGCATGCGGTAAGGAACTTTTCTCTATCTTTTAACAGGCTCACCAGTTATTATTATATTAAAGATATCCATATCTAACCGTTGTGCTGCTCCAAGGAGGGCTCCGGTGCGAGCCTTGACATCAAATCCGGGGGATAATGTCAGTAAATTCAAGTTAAAACACCGACTTTGCTTATCCCATGCGAATGCGCCGCACGAAACACAGACGTGGTGGGGTAATTACTAAATCACATGAGGTTCCCAGGTAATACTAGTCCCGTGCGAATAGGGCTTAAGTTGAAAAGACAACCACATCTTGAAGATGGATAAAAGATAAAAGAGATATAAGTTTCCTAATGTTAGTAAAACGTTAGCTAACTGACTAAATAATGATTTCTGTAAATTAGGTAGCTAGTTAGGTAGTGTTTTTCTGACATAAAGGCTGTGTGTGTGTATATATAAAAACTTCCCTCTCACCCTCTTGAGGTGGTATCTGTGTCATCCTCAAGCTCGGGTCCTCTACCAGAGGCCTGGGAGTTTGAGGGTTCTGTGCAGTATCTTAGCTGTTCCTAGGACTGCGCTCTTCTGGACTGAGGCTTCTGATGTTGTTCCTGGGATCTGTTGGAGCCACTCCCCCAGTTTGGGGGTCACTGGCCCGAGTGCTCCTACTACCAAGGGGACCACGCTCGCCTTGACCTTCCACATCTGCTCCAGCTGTTCTTTCAACCCTTGGTACTTTTCAACCTTTTCGTGTTCCTTCTTTCTGATGTTGGCGTCTGCTGGTATGGCCACATCTATCACCACCACCTTCTTCTGCTCCTTGTCTACCACCACTATGTCTGGTTGGTTAGCCAGGACCTGTTTGTCAGTCTGGAAGCTGAAGTCCCACAGCACCTTGGCCCTGTTGTTCTCAGCCATCTTCTGTGGTGCGGCCCATTGGGATTTGGGTACTTCTATTCCATACTGGGTACAGATGTTCCTATACACTATTCCAGCCACTTGGTTGTGTCTCTCCATGTACGCTGACCCGGCTAGCATCTTACACCCTGCTACTATGTGCTGGACTGTCTCAGGGGCATCTTTGCATAGTCTGCACCTTGGGTCAGATCTACTCTTGTAGATCTTGGCCTCTATGGCTCTTGAACCTAGGGCCTGTTCTTGTGCTGCCATGATCAGTGCCTCTGTGCTGTCTTTGAGTCCAGCCTTTTCCAGCCATTGGTAGGTCTTCTCGATATCAGCCACTTCTTCAATTTGGCTGTGGTACGTGCCATGTAGGGGCTTGTCCCTCCAGGTTGTCTGCTCCTCTTCCTCTGCACTCTTATCGTGTTTCTGTTGCCTGAGACATTCACTTAGCAGTTCATCCTTTGTGGCCATTTTTCTGATGTGCTCTTGGATTTTTGATGTTTTATCCTGGATAATGGCCTTGATGCTCACTAGTCCTCGGCCTCCCTCTTTCCGCTTAGCGTACATTCTCAGGGTGCTGGATTTGGGGTGAAACCCTCCGTGCATGGTGAGGAGCTTTCTTGTCTTATTATCTGGGGCCTCTATCTCCTCCTTTGGCCAGCTTATGATCCCAGCAGGGTATCTGATGACTGGTAGTGCGTACATGTTCATGGCTTGGATCTTGTTCCTGCCATTCAGCTGACTTTTCAGGACCTGCCTTACTCTTTGGAGGTATTTGGTTGTGGTTGATTTCCTTGCGGCTTCCTCATGGTTTCCATTAGCCTGTGGGGTAGCAAGGTACTTGTAGCTGTCTTGGATTGTTGCTCCACTTCGGAATTGGTACCCGTAACCACTCTTTGTGATGATCTGACTGAGGAGGTTCAGGCCTATGCAGAACAGCAGTGGTAATAGCGCATCTCCTTGGTATATGCCGCATTTGATGTTGACTTGGGCAATTGGCTTTGAGTCGGCTTCTAGGGTTGTCTTCCACATTCTCATCGAGTTCTGGATGAAGGCCCTTAGGTTCCTGTTGATCTTATACAGTTCCAGACATTCCAGTATCCA